GAAACATCTTTGATTTTCCCCTTAATTCCATCCACTCGTGTGAGTGAAAGCACAATTTCATGACTTTGTGAGAGACCAGCTTGACCATAGTCCTGTGTTTTTTGTCGATCAGACATTCCAAAATTTTTTCATGAAATGGTTGTGATTGATACTTACATTTCCACCCAATGAATACAGCGCATTATCTGGTGTTCCAATAACTAATAAATGGTCAGCACCTAGTGCTATTTTCCTTGCTTTAAACTCTCTATTATTATACATGGCCTTATAAATTTCACATTGTTGTGTGGAGGGTTGTAAAAATTGTTCAAAATTAATGAAAGAGTAATATACATGGCCGAAAGTGGTTAGCCACACGGCTAAATTGCCATTAAATTGAAAATCTGCAATATTTCCCTTAAATAAGGTGGAAATTGTCTCATTAAAAATTGGAATTCTTGAAGAAGGCTCTTCATGATTGCTGGTCCATATTAAAAAATCATCTAGCAATTTATCAATAATAAATAATGGTCCAACTTCTCTTCCAAACTTGGATGCTGTGGGTGTGACAACATTTTTGACAGTGAGGGGTGAGACCATTTTAACTAAATATCGGCTACCACTCTTTTTTTGTTTTGTATCTGACGAGTTTTCATCCAAATGATCTAATTTGTCTAATTTTCGCTTAAATATTGCTTTAATACTCTTTTCTTCTCTATCACTCCACTCTTTCATTTGTTCATACATTTTCACATGCCACAAAGATTCGTCGTCATTTCTTTCGTCATGACGAATCGTTTTCGAGAGAGTGATAATTCTATTTTTCACTGTATGGATCGCGATCACCGTTTGAAATTTCGTTTCCTCATGATGAGGGTTGTTGTTTTCATTACTACTTGTGCTCGTATCATACACTTCTTTGTGTGAGAAAACTGAGGCGTCCTCTTCATGAAAGCACTCAATTCCAACAATTCCATCTCCGTGAGGTAATTGCAACCTTCGATTCAATTCACCAAAACTGGCCAACATGTTTTGATGTAGGACCGACGGTTGCTGAGTGGAAACCATTGCAATGGTGTGCACCACAGTATTTGAAACGAGAAGAAAAAGAGCAACAAGGAGCGTTATCCTGCACTTGAAAAATCGGAACGTATGAGGCTGTAACATGACGTTGGTTAGAATGGCTCTAAAGCATGTTTGTATACCCTACAACTAGTAGTTGGCCCCAGCTTGTATTTACTTACTGATGATGATGGTAAAAGGATGATAGAAAATCGGAATTAGAAATTCTCTAATGATGATTGTAAATAATAAACGTTTTTTAAAAACAATTTCCACGAATTGAATTGGAGCAAATTAATTTCAAACTGAACGAATTCGCGTCAATTTGGGAATGATTCCACCCCAACACTATGTACCAATAACGCAAAAACGTTTTAATTTCCAATTCCGAGAACAAAAACACAACAGCCAGTGAATGATGATGAAAGTGAAGGTGAATGATGATGAATGGTGTGTGCTGCAATGCAGTCAATCACTTTCTCTATTTTTTAAATCGATCAATTTTTAACAGAAATCAGGCGGGAACTATCACAACTTTATGGATTTTTTTTATTAATCCAAAAATGTATTTTTATTGGGACGACAGTTTTTTGAAGGTTGGCATTTGGATGACATATTCGAGCTAAATAGGTGGTGTGAAATGATGTTCACTTGCTTTTATTGGGCAATGGTCATCCACTCACTCACTCCTTACATCTTGCAAGAGATTTAGATTCTCTCTAAGGAGAGACAATGACAAGTGTTGGATCTAAAAAGGAATAGCATAGAACGTTCTCTCTCTCTTGACTTGAGAATTTCTCAACATTTAAGTGATGTGGCCACATTCATGTCTTTTCTGTTCTCCTCATCATACTTGTCTTTTCAATATTATTAAACACGACAAAGTTTCGCAGCACTCTTTTCATCCAAAAATTGACAAGATAAGGATAAAAACCATGTCGAAAATAATGAAAGAGTGAAAGGACATAACAAATAGTGCCATAACAATAATTCACACACTTCTTCTTGTCCATAGTCCTTATTAAGACTTGAAAGACCTGCCAAACTCATGGACATGGGCATTCCGAATTGAATTAATACTACGAGAATTAAAATTGGATCATTGGTAGGTAAAATTTGTAATTTCACACAAGCAGCGACCAAACCAACTCCAATTAAGGGAAATATAATGAGTTTGACAAATACTGAAAGAGCAATGGCAAGTGGATGAATTCTTTTCACTCGAAAGAATTGTCCAATATTTGAACATAAATTCCTTAATTTGGTGGTTAAAAGTCGACATCTTTCGTTGGTTGTTGTTGTTGTTGGTAAATTCGTCAGAGTTCTTGTTGAATCCATTTCATTCTCCTCATTCTCCTCATTTTCCTTTAATAAGGTAAGTGCTAAATTTCCTCCCAACACAATCAACGCAGCAGGTGACACTGCCTGTGAAAATGTTTCACAAATATGTTTCAATGAGGAAATAAAAATTGGAGGATGCACAATTAAAAATTCCTTCACCGGTGGTATTAAAGCAACAAGAATGGCCAAACAGATGGACACGAGTGGTGGCGAGAGGACATTGATGAGAAATTCTTTGAATTTGGGCCAATGTTTCAAAAACAATTTTTTCACTTTTTGAGTCCAAGTGAATGAATTTTCCTGAATTGGACTTTTTGCCTCATCTTCAATAGTCATTGCTGATTCATGTGGTGTTGATGTTTCCAACATGGAATGATTGCTCATGTTGTGATTGTCATTCGTGTTGGTCATCAATTGTTCTTCTTCATGTCGATCCTTTGATGTGAAATTTTGAGTTTTTTCACTTGAATGACTCGTTGTGAATGTTTCTTGTTGTTCTTGAATCCATAATTTTTCATCTTCCAATTCTTCTTCTTGTTTGGAATTATTCATGACTGGTTCATCAACAATCTCCAACCTTTCAAGTTGTTCTTCATTATTGAGAGTCATTTCATCTTTTCGTTTCTTGTCTTGTTCCTCTCTCATTAATGCTTCAGCTCCTAATCGAAACGAATGATATCCATACGTGTAAAAAATAAATTCTGTTGGAATGATAAATACGGAGGAGGCCGTGACAGAACTGTCATGAGCTTTTAAATAGGTCATGTTAAAGATTGGATTCTTCTCTAATGTGGAAACCTTACAAAGAGCTTCCAAAAACACAAGTGGCAACGAAACACTCGTGTGACACACCAATGTCAGATTTAACACTCTTCGAGAGACTGGACTCAATTTTTCTCGCCATATCCATTTTAGGAATAACAACTTTCCAAACACCATTCCCAATAATTCCAATAAAATTCCAAACACAAAAATCATGTATAATTTTCGAAAGACTTCTGCCGAGAATGCTTGTGAAATTCCAATAAAAAAGAGACTTGGAATGAATAAATTAAACCACAATTTGGATAAAAATCGAATTCGATCCTTGTTGAGAAGTTTGAAAGCTTTCACACGAGCCATCACAAATCCGATCGAACATTCGAGAAGAACTTCAAAAGTACTCGAGAGAGAAGTGAGAAAGAGAGCAATCAGTGTTGTTCCGAGAGAAGAAGCAGACATTTTGAGCACTTTTTTGTGTGATTGTGTTTTCAAAATGATGCAATAAAAAAAATATATCAATTCGGAACAATTCAATTTTCCAACGCACAAAAAAAAGAGATATTCTTTTTATCAAAATCTCACATTGTTGTGGTGACCATTTACACAACCATCTCATGAGCGACGTCGTTGTTTCATTCTTGAATCCGATCCTGACCACCTACCAAATACAACTGGTCGAATCGATGTTGATATAACATGAATATCAGTCTCTGTTGTTGTGTTTGTGAGTATAATTCTTTACAAGATTTATTTGTTACAAAAAGAAGAGGCATTCACAAACTGTTCTTATAATCCAGTGACTTTTCTCATCAAACCTAATGGTGACATGTATTGTCTCAATTTGTTACTATCCTTAATATTTTTCACACCATTAATGACACTTTCTTTTGCACTTGCTACATTGAATTCAATCGTATCCAATAATTCATCTTGCTGTTCAACGAGTAATGCAAAATCTTGAAATAATTGATTCAATTGTAACATGGAATGGTATAATTGTTTGATATCTTCATGAGTTTCTTGTGCCAATTTTAATTCCACATCCAATGTTTGTTCCTGACTTTGTGTGAGATGAAAATGATTTGAAATTAAATCTTGAAATTGAAGCTTATCTTCGAGAGCCATTTGTTCAATTTCTTGTTCAGTAAATTCTTGAACAGTTCCTTTTGGATTGCATTTTGCAATGATTTTGTATTGTCGTTTCACACGATCAACCTTGTCACGCTTGCATTTTTCTTGACACTCATAAAATCGATCCACATGTTGCATAAAAAGAGAGACAAGTTTTTGTTGTTGTTGTTCTCGTAATCGTGTGACAGCATTATCACCCATGGTTTGTTTGATACCTTCTGTTTCGAGAGTAATTTCTTGAATAGATTGTTGAATTTTTTGTGAAATGTTGTTGGTGACGGTGATTTGATCTCTCACTTGTCTGTGTCATGAATTTGACCGTTGAAAACACAGAATTTCATATCAATTAGAAGATCATCACGTTCGAATTAATGAAATTCAACTTACTTGGCAATTCCTTCTAATTGTTTAACATTGGGCTCGGATGCATATTTTTGAGAAATTTCTTCAAATTTGTTAATATTTTCATTGAGCTCACCAAGAATTCTTCTTTCAACATCAGCCTATCATTGAGTCGAAAATTTCATTCGTTCATTCATTCATTCACTATTACATGCAGTGATAATATATTGAAACTTACGACTTGCTTTTTGAACTTGTCAACATGAGCGTCAACTGTCTCTTCAGTCGAAGTTCCAGCATTTGTGTTCGATTTTGTCTGATTCACTCCAGGAGAAGAGGAGACTGGTGTGGAAGGAGAGGATGAAGCAGAATTTTTACCATCTCCCGACAGAGTTACATTAATTTTAATCTTTCCAAATTTAGTTTGTTCCAAATCCACCCAAAATGGATCTTGAGAATTCTTTTTCATGTTCAAAAAGTCTTGAACTGTTTTTTCGACACATCCCATGGCAACATCCATCATGAGTTTGTTTTTATCAAAAACACTGAAACGAATGACGTCTTTTGGTGTGACACTAAAAGATCACGAAAATGTCAAAACAAATAAACATCATGTCAGCAATCATCAAGAATTCAGTCATCATCAAGAATGAGTGATTGAGTGATATCAACTTACTTTTCAAAAACAAATTCTTCATTCCATTCGGGTTCCAAATTTTTGTAAATCACTCTTGTTTTTTGTTCCGAGACTTTGGAAAATAATTGTGGAAGTTTTATCAAGGAATCATTCGGATTGATGGATCTAAATTATATTTTGTTGATATCATCATTGTAATGAATATTATTATTATTGAAATTCTAATAATGGATTTGACAAGTGACATACGTACACCACTACATAGGGATCTAATCATCATGATAAAACCATTTGTAATTATAATAACAATTGATCAATTCAAAAAATTAATTCGAATGTGGTGATTATCTTGTCATCACTTACCTGATGTTCCGCTAAAATCCTTGCTCTGCAATTCCGCTCCTTGAATCACGCTCACTTTGAGTACTACTGACATTTTTTTTAAAAGTTCATGCAATTTCAATATGACATGCCCTTCATCCCTTTCCAAGGATCACTTCCATTGAATTCTTTATTTGATCAAAGTCATCTGACTAACATTTTTGTTTTTGTAATCTTTATTTAACTTGAAAATTGGATCTTGTGATGACAGAAACTTATTTTTTGAAATGAGAAAATGAGAACAAGTGATTGAGAGTGGTATGCTTTATTGCATAGAATACTGTCATGACATTTTGACAAATAGGGAAATCGATGATGCGAGATTTTCAATGCATTACACAATGTCAAAAGTCACCAAGAAAGCATGGATCATTCCTGGAAGCCATCCCAAAATTGTGAGCAAAATGTTCAAGTACAAGTGTAAATTAAGACGTTTTTTCTTGATTGTGATAAAGAAAATTAATTTTCAAATTTGGAAATGTGTGAAATTAATGACAGCAACATCATACGGAACTAGGTTACAAACACATATTTCTTGATAGTCTCTACTTACCACTGCCACAGCTAGGAAATTGTAAATAAAAAATGATTAAATTTGTTGATGATGCATCATCGTTCACATCAAAATCGGAAGGTCATTGACAAGTGGCATTTCAATGAAATTCCATCGATAATATTCGTCATGCCGACAAGATCATGATATCTATATCAATAAAGAGAACATGACGAATCACTTACCCAACGGTGGGAAGAAAATACAGAAAATAATCATCACCAAGAGTTCCGTGTGATTCATTTTTTTTCGAGTGTGAATGACATTTGACTGTTCCTTGCCAACGTTCATGAATTTCAAAAAGAAATAGTCAGCCATTAAGTGAAGGACCTTTTTAAAATACTTCTTTATTCCAATTTCGCAAGTAAGGTCTCTTGTAAAATTCCTTAATCAGATTTCACAAATTCTGCAAATCGATCCAACGCTTCAATTGCTTCTGGTAATTCATAATTAAACAAAAACGGATAATCATGACACATATCACGACCCACCAACTCTATAAATTCCATTCCCATCTTCTCTTCTTCTTTCAATTCTCTCAAAATTTTAGCAAATTTTTCAATTTCTTCTCTCAATCGTTCACAATCTCCCCAATTCAACAAAATTTTCTTATTTCTCAACATTTGCTTCAAGACATTTCTCGAAAATTTCAATACTGAGAATTCAGAAGGATCACTCTCGAATGGCACTTTTCCTTCTCGACATTTCAATAATAAATTTCGAGAGAGCATCATTTCATTTCGATTATCTTTTTCAAAAACACTCGCATGAGTCATTTCCAAGTCACACCATGGAGAAAGAATGAGAAATTTTGACAATTCTGAATATTTAAAGGAATGTAAATCCTCCAATGTATCAACATTCAATTGAACGGAATGTAAATCCTCCAATGTCGAAGAAGAAGAAGAGGAACAACAATTCAATGACATCATTCTCATTAAATTCAACACCAAATTACCTCCAGCCGAATCTCCTCCCAAACACACATCTTGTGGTCTCAATTTCAATTCCCGAAACACAAAATTCAACTCTTCATAGGCATCTGTAAAGATTTCTCGAAACGAATGCTCCACTTGATCCGGTGAGAGAATATAATCAGCCAAGTAGACATTAATGCCATACTTGCGAGCAAAGGGAATGAAAAAACCAGAATAAGCTTCTGGAGAGCCAAAATAATAACCTCCTCCGTGGAAATAGATCAATGTTTTTCGATGATGATGATGATGAGAGGAGGTTGTGTTAGAATTGGTGATGCCAGTGGTGGTGGAATTCTCGAGGTGTGAATGATGATTTTCATCATCTTGATAAATCCACAGAGACTTCAAGAAATGTGCTTTGGTTCGAGAAGTTTGACAAGGTCGAGAGAAGACTTTGATTCGAATGGGAGAGTCGTGAGAAGAAGTGCGTTTCCATTCGTATTTCGCCTTTGAGAGTACAGAGCTCATCATGAAATTCAAATGTTGACGCATCTTGACAAATTCCATACGTTGGAGTGGGCGAGTGGGTTCCGAGTCATCAATGGCCACAAGAGAGACCATGGAAAAGAGAGCTCTTGCTTCTGGAGAGCAGTGTGTGCCATAGGTGGTGGATGCACTCGAGAGAAGATTTCGCTCTTTGAAGAGGAATAATTTATGGAGGAGACGTGTGAGAGCGTGAAGTGGAGAGGTGGTGAGTAATTGCCAATTCTGCCACACGTAGTAGAAGAGAAGAGGAAGGGCCATACATGCCAACAGTAATGTGAGAGACATTATTTTTTGAATTCTCTTTTACGTTGTGTTTGATTCTGCATTTTGATAAATATCATTTATTTGGATAGGGAGAAAAAAAGGAAAGGATGCGCAAAGCATCGAAAAGGTCCTTCGTCAATCGATTGAGTGTCTCCAGCAAGTTGGTATTGAGGAAATTGTTTAATTTCAATTTGATTGCATAGGGATTACAAATTTCTTTGGAATGCCAATTGTTCATCCAAGTTTTCCTCTTCAAAACCACCCCTCACTGAAGAAATGCTTGCTGTCTCTCCTAGCAATTCTTCTACGGAGAGATTTAATGCATCTGAGGCAATACCCTTACTCAATGCAATTCCCATTGTGTTGAGCGAATTGGTGTGCTGTCTTACTTCAATTTTGAGTGTCTTGATTTCTTCCTCTTGCTTCTTATTGATGTCTCGAAGCTGGGTGATGAGCTTCTCCTTTGCAACGTCTTCCTGTTCAAATTGTTGCAACAAAACTTTCAAATCATGAACTATGTAAGAATGATTTGTATGAATGGTTGATACGAACAAAATGTTGAAAATGTGAATTACGACTTACCCTCTTGTTGTAAAGTTTTTAACTCGCAAATTTTCTTCCAATACTTTTCTGCGCGATCCTTAGTGTCCTTATACTTATTCATGTATTTGAGGAGCACTTGGTGAGTTTGTTCCAATTCTGAAACTCGTTGTTGCTCATCCCTTCTACTTTGGGCTAAATCCTTTTCCAATTGAGCAATGTACTTGTTGGTAAGCTTGATATCCTCCGGCTTGGTTGAAACTTTGGTGGTTGGTGTTGGGGGTGAATGTACAATTACGGGAGGTTTTTGCTTCTTTGCTTCCTTCAATTCAAGGTTCAGGTTTTCAAGCTGTGTCTTGTACGATTCAATGTCTTGTTTTAAGGCAATATTCTCTTCCGTAAGCTTTAAAATTTCATGTTGCATCTCTTCATTGTGTAAAGGTTGGGCTTGTAACTCTTGTTTCATATTTTCAATCTCTTGCAATCTTTCATTTGCATTCTTGAGTTTTAGCATCAAACCCTCAATGATCACACCTTTTTCATGTGCCACTTCTTCGGAAGCACGTTGAAGCTTTGTACTTCGCTGTTTGTGTGGCTGATCGAAGAGTTGGGATGGAGCTATTCCAACGGAAGCACTCACAGGCTGATCTGACGAAAAACAGGCCTGAGGATACACTTGTCCCTGCTCAGAGTTGTTCTGATTCACACCAAATACAAGATCAATCCATTTGTGCAAATTCTTTGAGACGTATTCGGATTCAAGGGCTTCTCTGGCCTTTAGGACAAAATCCTTGGCATCTATTGCCCAAGCTGGCAACTCTACATCTCCTGTTCCTCCCAAAGGCAGTCCTTTTGAATTCACTAAAACAGACCCATTTCCGTCGTATAATTCTGGGATGGCTTCCTTTGGGTCTGAGCCATTCAGAATGTTGGTCCAAGTGGTTTCGATAGACTTGAACAAATTCTGTCCTTCCATAAATTTACCATCGTTGTAGTGAATCATCACATCTGGATATGGCCGAACAAGGTAACTCATGGTAGTCATGTAATTCATGCAGTAATTGTTGCTCAGAGGTCTCTCCAACTTGCTTGTCATTTTCTCACTAAGGCATGGAACATGCTTTCCCAAGTCTCTGAACCAAGCTGAGTCTTCCAAATTTAGAGTTTCACTGCTCATATCAGCGAAAATCCATGGGAAAATTGGATAAAGATGTACATCGTTATGAGTTCTTCCTGCCAATCTGTTCAAAGAAGTGAGATAGTCAAAGTTTGAAATACAGCCTCGAACCCATAAATCTTCTTCTCTTCTCAGCATTTCTTCATTGGACAATAGATTTACTTGGCTCTGCGCAATCCTATCATGAATTTGATTTCTCTGATCTTCATTGTTGAAGAGAAATAGGCAAGAGGTTTCATTATGCAAATGCAAGATCAATCCCTTTTGACCCTGTAAATAATTGGTTTTTGCCATGGATAAGACACTCGATGAAGACAATTTCATAATGCGAGGTTCCCCTGAGAAGGCATTATTTGCCACAAAGTAAATACGCTTTTCCGTAACAACAAACTTTCCTCTCACTTTTTCAAACGACACAATCATTGAGCAGGAAATTGTGTGTTGCACTTGTTCGTCCATGAGCCATTCAGTCTTGATTGGTGCGTTTTTATCGCTCATTTCCAATAGTTCAGACTGAAGATTCTTTGCAAGCACTTCATCTTTGCTCGCTTCTGCTGCAGCAAGACGCTGCATTCTATCCAACAGGTCCATAATATAAATGAAGGTATCTTTGTGAACTCCAATCACAATTTTGGTAATCTTTTGGAGTTTTCATTTATCCATATTCATCATCAGAATAATTAGTATTAGGCGTTCCACGCAAAATTGCATATTTGGACGGGATTGGCGCAAGAAATAGGGTCGCAGCGAATCGTTTCGGGTTACAGATGTTTTTCAATAGACCATATTTTGTGTGAGTCGACAAGAAGCACAGAACATTAAAAAGCCTTACTCACCGTTACTTTTGAGTGATCTTTGCTATCAATCAAGCAAACTCGCGCTGTTGTGATTGAAAAAAGGGAACACTTTACGGAAAAGGTCTTGGATGTAGTTTTCTTAATATTTGAAATATCCTTGGTGGAGATACGGTACACTGGTAACGAAAGGTCGTCAGGACAGAACATGATGGACTTGGTGGCCAAAATCAGTTGGCCTCTGGGATGTTCGGATTCACTGCTGCTGACCTGTACATAGGTATTGGTACTGGGTTGAATATCAAGAACCTCCTCTCCTTGATCAAGATAGAGAGAAGAAAATCTGATACTGGGGGCTTTTGCCTTATAAAAGTCTTCATCAAGGAATTGTTTGAAATGAAGAAACATGCCGAAAAATACAATACATCATATCAACATATTGGAGGATGTGTATGGTTGTTGTTGAAACTTCAGTCTGTTGTGGTTTACTCGCTACGACTACTTACTGAGCATCTTGCTTGGTTGTGTTGAAGCAAATTTTTTGCTATTGTTTCTACAAATTGGGCGGCATTTCTTCTTTCGACAAATATAATTGTTACACCTTCTCGCTGTGTAGAAGATGTAATTGGATTCCGATTATGCACATGTGATGATAGCCACCAAGAGAAGGTGCGTGTGATCATCATCAACACAGAAAAATAATGAAATAATTTCATTAATAATAAAAACTACAAAATTCTCTTTTTTAGTAAGTTTAGTAATAGGAACCTTTCATGTAATTCTTGGCCTTGCGTTTAAAGTCTTCAAATTGATCAGTATAGTGCTTGGCAGCATCAAGATCAAGAGGATCGTCGGGATTTGGTTCGAGGAATAGGAAGTGAAGACCAGTGAAAATAGCGTTCAAATTCAAAACAGGTTTCCAATCGGCTCTCAAAATATTCAAACAAACGGCACCGTTTTGGTCAATATTTGGATGCCAGACTTTTGTTTTACAGATAACCTTTGGTGGTTTGATTGGATATTCGTTTGGAATGTTAATTTCGAATTCGTGTGGGTGACCCTTCCAAATTCCGTCATCAGGGATGAGTGTGAGAGTCATCTTGTTGAGTTTGTTGGCGTCTTCAATTTTGAGATTATCAGACCACTTCTTTTCCAGTTCGTCGAGATCTTTCTGAACACGAATTTGATAACCAGTGCTTCTGCCACCACCTTGAGAGATGATACCAGTAACACCGGTAGTGGCCTTTTGGTCTCCACCAGTTGCGTTTTGTTCCTTCTCCTTTTGTAATTTTGCCTTTGAGAACATTTTTCGTCAGAAGCAGAGTGAAACTTGATGATGGGGAATTGACGACGAGTTTTGAAGTATTTTTTTTGAAGATGCTTCCGCGCACTCGGTGAGTTGTTCATTGTGTTTATTTTTAACACGATTACAACTTCAATCCCTGAAAACAACCAAACAAAACAATTTCTCTCATCCTAACCACTGACTGGCTGAAACACGAAGAGGTGACGAAATATGGTACGTATTTTTATTATTAATTTCTCTCAAATAAATTAATTTCTAATCATTTTAGGTTGTTTGTATGTGAAATCAATCAACCTAAAATAAGCCGGAAGTCAAAAAACCAGAGTTCTCAAATTCATCCCATTCGGTAAAGACAGCAGAAAACTCCTTTTGATTGCCACCACTTAATGCAAAAGAAGGACTATTGGAAATCACAGCTGGGTCAAACATGTTGGTTTGACGCGACAGATAATTATTGCTTGGGGTTATGGAAGATAAGTTCACAATGTCTGCATCAGGATTTGTTTGCATGTTGAACAGTTTTTCCTCGAGTTCAATATCACGCCTCACAAAATCGTCCACTTCCTCTGGACAAGGATCAAAGCTTTCTGCATTGTCATTGACAATTAAGGGTTGCATCACTTCAAGTTTACATTCGAAAGGAACAATGGCTGTTCCTTCGCACAAAAGAATCTCTTGTTGGTCAAAGTGGTACACTGACTCGTCAATCAAATCACTGTGGCCAGCATCTTCGAAAGCATCTCTGTCAAAGCTGTCTTCCCTTTTCACTGTACGAAGTAATTGGTGAGGAGTCATGTGTTGTTGTTGCGTGGGTGACACGATCTGATAATTTAACATGGGGAAGGGATCTTCATTGCACAACAAATCACCCTCTCCGCACAAGAATGTACTCAACGGAGTACCTGTACACTCTGGCTGTTTGGAATTATTGTTGCCATTGCTGCTGGCATTTGAGGTGCTTCTCTTTTTTCGGGAAGTTGTCTTCTTTGTTGATTGGAGTTGTGAGGCAGAAGTAGTGACGGCCACGGATGATGTCGCTTCATTGAGCGTTTCTTTCAGCTTTTGAGGAATTGTAACATTGGAATTGCAAGTAATGTTTGTTCGAGAGACCGGTCTGCCCTTTCCTTCTTGCTCGTACTTGCGGAGCATAATCCATCGGTGACGACACTGAATATCCGTTCTTCCAACAAATGAATCGGCAATACTCTTCCATGCGCTTTCTCCAAACTCGCGAACCTTCTCAATAAGCATCAAGTCTTCTTCTTCGCTCCATGGTTTTTTACAAATCTTGGGATTGAGCACTCGCCACCAATGTTGATTGCACTGATCACTGTTCTTTGTGCCCACCATTTTAGCAATTTCATTCCATTTCTTTTCGCCGTACTTTTCGATAGCTTTGATGAGCATCTCATTCTCTGTTTTCGTCCATCTATTGCAACTCTTTCGCTTTCCTGAGGATTGGGCTGTACTTCCGGAGGAAGAACTGCTGTCGTCAGATGGTGATGAAGGTTCGGATTTTGCCTTCGTTCCACCGCTGCTGCTACCTGACTTGCTGGATTTTCGTTTGGTTTTAGATTGCTTGGTGATGGAACTAAGATTGAGTTTGGGAAGAGAGGATGAATCTTGGTCGATGGAAGATACGTCATTGCTACTGATTGGTAAGGATTTTAGAGTACTCGATACATCGTTCCTACTTCCGATCGGAACCGTTCTATTGGTTGTAATGTTAGCTGTAATAGTGGTTGTGATGGAGGATGGTGATGATGAAAGAATGGCTGTGGTGGCTTTGCTGTGTTGCAAGTGTCGTTGTAAAAACGATGTATGATTGAGAGAGTTATAGAGTACTGAGGCATTATGCATGGCCGCATTGATGGCTGAGAGGGGTGATGAGTTCGTCGATGATGATGAGGAGGAGGAAGAACCTTCGAATGTATTAAGGCTCGTTGAAAGATTTCCAAGTGTTGTTGATTTTACCATTTTTGAATTTGGCAATTTAGGATGTGAATGTGTTGAAGAGGTGTGAGAGGCTGGCAAGCGATTATTATGGGGTGAGGCAATGTGGTTAGGGTTGAATTCCACGTGTTTCTCTTGGCAAGTAGAAGGAGTAGCGTGGAGGGAATGCTATAAGGAGGCCCTTAACGGAAGGTGGGTTTGCTTGGTTAGGCTGTTATGGTTGTGGTTCGGTTGTGTTGAGAGAGAGTTCTGAAATTCGTGTTGCAGCACCAAGTTCAGACTTTCTCGCGTGTCGGGTGTGTTGCTCGTTTTTTTGTGTTGGTGGAGAGAGAGTTGCCATGGCGGGCCAAGAAAGAAAGGCCAGAAGCCTGCTGTGGCATCTCTCGTTGGCAGCCGTTTTCGGTTAAAAAAACTGCAGTTGGTGGCGGGAAATGAAAAATTCATTTGGCGGGGAAAACATCAATGCCCTTAATTTGACATTTTGCACCATCACAACACTTTAAAGTTGTAATTGTTGCCACACCATAGATGTAAGTAAAATTCATTCTATTACCCTTAATTTGATGCGAGAGTCTGTCGTATTTCTCCACACTGCATATTTGTAATTGGGCGAAAATTTCTGATGTGGTGAAATTGGCATCTCGTTGGAACCTGAACCCAAAGCAAAGGTTGGCCATGGCATAACGTATTAGTACCGTTTCTAGACTCACTTGCTGAAAAAGGCCTTACGAACATGGTAGTTGCTGCTTCCTCATATGCAAACGTAAATTGACCAAATTAGTTCACGATCAAATTAAGATGGCACTTGCAAATTCACAAAAAATCATGCAAGAAGAAACATACTCTTGGTGCAGCGAACAAGTCATCGCAGCACTCTCGAGAGCCGGTCGGAATGGAACTCGCTCAAGAGGTGGCACTGGCCCTCAAGAAAGGTCATTCCATCATGTACTCACACCGAGATTATTGTGGAGTTGGTTTGATGTGTAGTAAATCATCGCAAGAGGATGATCCATGCCAAATCTTTGAATTTTGTTACGTGTATGATGGTTATAATACCGATTCCATCATTACTTTCCGTGATGAGAAGGAATTTGTCAAGTTCTTATCGGAGCAGAGTGAATATTCCATGAGTGGAGCAGACGAGAAGAGTTCGGTTTTTATGAGAGTAGTCCATTTGGAAGAAATAATCAACGTATTAGTGTGGCTCGTTTGAAGCATTTGGTAGCCTTGAGTCAGTTATAAAGAAGAAGAACTTATATTATGTGGACAAAAGTGTGATTTTGAATTAATTGGTTCTCATTCTTCTAATGATGAACTGTGGTTTTCATCAATATGTAATAAGATTTCATGAAAGGAGAACAACAACCAGTAACACATTTAATGTGGCCGAAAATAGTTCATCACCATAGGATTGGTTAAATTGAATCAATGCGATTAAACATACCATCATCAGATCTGATTGATTACAAGGGAAGTTTTATCCAATCTTTGTGATGATGGATGAAAATTGTTGTTTTTATTCGAGATGAATATATTTTTAAAAAATGTTCAAACTTTCGTTGCCGCTTTCCAAAGTGAACAACAACAGCAACTCCTCATCACACGAAGAGAACACAACAGCGGCGGTTGATCGTGTGGGTCTCTCCACTGATACAACAACAACAACAGATGCATCTAACAGAAACAATGAACATATCATCACCTCAACCGCTAATAGTAGTAGTAGTAGTAGCAACACTACTGCTACCAACGGCATCACGATTCCGCCCGTTTCATTATCGAACTTGATATCCGCAACTATTTCTTCTTCTGATAACAACCGTGATGATGACATGTCCTATGATGATGATGAAGATTTCAAGGACTATGAGACGCTCTCAAACCATAGAAAATCAGAAGGGACGACAACGAACAATAACACATTCTTTTCTTCTATTTCATTTGATACTGACCCAATTCCAATTGAAAATATGAGCAAGTTGATTGGATCATCTCCATCAACAATGGCAACAACAACAACATCAGAAAAATCAACCTTCTACACAAGTAACATCAAAATGTTCGAATGTTTTGATGCTGTCTCTTCCAAGAGCTCCTCGGACAAGGTCTGGAAACGAGATTTCCAAACAAAACCTCTTCATACTCTAGTCTCGAATATGAACCATCATGAAGGTACAACGACGAATTTGTCCTCTTGCTCCTCACAATTCAACACAACTTCGTGTTACATTGTTCTCCACCTCTATCATCATTCTCACTCGGCAATGTCACCACAATCAAACAAACCTGCCCTTTCAAATGACGAATCACGAGACGAAACTAACTTTAAACTACTCGAGCAACTCTTCACAGTGGGATCCCTCGAATGTACCAGTAGTCAGATGACAGATTGTGCCTTCACACCGCGTGGATTAGAGTATCCGTTTGCTAGCACGCGATTAGACTCTCAACACAACACCAAGTACCTCTTCGATCTCTACGTTTGGTACGGAAAGGAATCAAGCGAATTTGTAAAGAGCAGAACCATTGAGAGAGCACTTAACTTGGAGTCATTGCTGCATCAACCTCATGCTGTAGAGCAGTTATTCCACTCCGGAAAACCACAATCTTTTTATGATTTGGTCCTCAACAAAACAGACGTTGGTAACAGTGCCACAACAACTCCATCATCAGAGACCTCTGCATTGTCAAGTCTATCATCATCCAGTGTTTTGCGTCATCATCTTCTCTCTCGAATTAGAGCCATGATGAAAGGCACACCACAAAAATCATCGCGACATCTTTTTGAGGAGTTGACACTTCTTTCTCCTGACGAAACGTTTAACAATTCGGATGTTGACAAGCTGGGAACTCTACTTCAACTCCGAAAGAGACCAATGGCTGGCGTAAGTAAGGATGAAGAACACGATTCGCTTGAATCTCCACGAAAGAAGGAACGGACCCAATTGAGTCCTCTCAATACGCGAGATGTTGAACATGTGGAAGAACCAAAAGTGCTAAGTGGTAGAGAGCTTGCCAAGGCTTGTCATTATGTTTGTTCAAAAATTACAGACTTTCTCTTCCTTGGCAGTGCTGCCGTTGCACAAGATAAGAAAAAACTCAATGAGAACGGAATTACACACATCATCAACTCAGCTGCTAGTGTTTATTGTGACAATTACTTCCCTAATGATTTTACATACTATTCACTAAGTTTATATGACGATCCAAACGAATCAATTATTGGTTCATTTTACGGAGTTATTGAATTTATCGAAAATGCAATCAAAAATGGTGGAAAAGTCTTTATCCACTGTCAAATGGGAGTCTCACGGTCTTGTTGCTTGACCATTTCATACATGATGTGGAAATATAAAATGTCGTTTGCAAGAGCTTTGGACGATGTGAAACAGAAGAGAGCTTGCTGTTCTCCTAATGCTGGATTCTTGGTTCAACTTACACAATGGGAAACAATATTAGGATTAAATGAGAAAGCTAGAAAGGAACCAAAATCCTACCTCTACCGCATAAGTCCTCTAAACAATTTTTATGCCATCCACAAAGAGTTGGTACCAAAGTTGTGTCACAATACGAAAAATTTGGATTCAAGAACTTGCTTTTTACTTCAAACCAAATACGACCATTGTTTCTTGTGGATTGGCTCTAAGAGCACGAATGAGCTACAACAGGCAGCAGAGAAGTTTATCGGAGTTTTAAAGTCATATTCTCCAATTGTCATCAAGGAGTGGATTCGAATCCATGAGGGACAAGAAACTGAAGAATTCAATCAAGCTATGGACACCTTAGAAATTGATCCAAGAAGAGCGAACAACACTTCTGAATATCCAGATTTGAAATATTTGCAAATGACCCACGAAGAAGCAATGGATTTATTGCGACAATTGAGAAATGTTGACAAAACTGCAGATTTAGAAGCAGAGAAGGAGTTGAAAGAGTACAAGAATGGTACGCTTTTTAGCTTTGAAGATGGAAAATTCTCAGAATTCGACTACTTTGATAGTGAGGATATTGCCGATGACATGTGCTATGTCATGCTTCCAGAGAATGAGCCAAAAATTCTTGTCATGATTGGCTATGATGTTGATCTTGGAGATGACAGTGTTGATGACAAGGGTGAAGAAATTGGCGAATTATTCATTGAATGGAAAAAACTTCCAGCAGATACCTCTATCCAAGTTTGTGAAGAAGATGACCCAGAATTCTTCAGATACTTTAAGAATGGATAACGACCCTTCTTAAACTACATATGGTGTAATTAATTCATTTGTAAATTAATGTTTGATTAAAATTGACTTTTGGTCCAACGAAGCTTCAATTTCAGTAACACGGTTCAATCAAACATTTTAGAATAACGATCTCAACAAGTGTTTACAATAACGATTGTATTTTCATTATCACTTAAAAATCGTTACTTTGTTATCATGATCATCTGCAACATACAGTTCACCAGTTAACGAATTTAAACAGCAAGCCATGGGAGAGTTCGCTTCATGTTTTTGTATGACCTGTCCATTTCCATCAAAAACAATAATCTCTCTTGGATTATAGCAGCATACAATGGTATTCTGTGTCACTTCATCATAGACAAAATCCACAATGGATGAAATCGAGCAGCCCTGTTTGGCAAGAGATGACAAGTTACGAAAAAATCTCAGAAGGCCAACCGATAGCCAAATTGACTAACCGCACTCCATGTTCCATCGGTTTGCGGTTGCAATATATGGAATGTTTCATTGTGAAATAAAACTATATTTCTATTTGGTAAAAGTTCCAAGCAGTACAACTCGCTTGAGAAGGTCAAATTATTGATAGTAATGAGTGGCAATTCTTCTCCATTCAAAGAACTCACTTGGGCAATATTCGAATCTTTGCATGTTAAAATTACATTTTTCAAAGAATCTGTTGGATGGTAGTCAATTGCTACAGAACTGATATAACTAAGTTCCTTATTCCACAACCAGGTGGAATCATCCTGAGTAACAATATCGTGCAACTTGTATTTAGTAATGTTAGAATAATGCACACAAATTAAATACTCTTCTTCATGATTGATTTTTTCAATTTTCATGTAATAAGGAGTGACATGTACTCTGCATGATCGGATGTGTGTTTTTGATGCTAAATCAAAAATGTCCACACTGGGATAATTAAAATTCCGATTTCCTACAATTAAACAATTATATCGATATGAAATCGCCATGGAATAAGGCACTAGTGATTCCTTTTCCAAAGTATCCACTTGTTCAAATTGACAAGAAAATCCTTGTTGTTTTTTTCCTCTCATCTTGTTGCAAAATTTTCGGAACAAACTTTCAGAACTTCCAAATTGGTGATCCTTTCCGGAATGATCATCATGATGAGACATTCGGTTGTTGCAAATTCCAAGATCCATTAAAAGGATGATCGTTTGATCAACTTCATCATGACTCCGATCTAAATGGACTCTTGCATTTTTTTTTCTAATTTTTTCAAATTGTAAATAATAATTAAATCGATCAAAAGAAAGTTCTGGAAGTCAGCAGGAACTTCGTTGCAGGTTTGTTAGGGTTGTGCAATGATGACTGCGAAATTTCATCATTCCTCTGCACCAACAAGTATTTGTGACTCAACACAAGGACACAGTCATAACAATAATGTCATGACTACTTTATATTAGTGTGTCCATGATGTTAGGTTTGGTTTTGATGTATAAATCAAGTCATTATAGTCTGTGAACCTTCAATTAAGCACCAACTTAAATTTAACGTCCTCAAAATAAGCACCGTTGGCAATCAATTTGGCTCCTCTTACTCCAATGTTTAGATTTCCAATTCGGTCAAGTGTTTCATATTTTCACTCTCAACACTTAGTTGCTGCTGGAGTTGCTGCAATCGCTAGCGATCTATCCGAGCAATCATCTCCATCCTGGATATATTAGCTGTGTGCACACAGGATATTGGTGGATTTGTTCCTTGAATTCTTAACGATTCGTTCAAATACCGCCAAAATTAACTACAATAACGGTCAATAAAAAAAATGCTTTCGGATTCTTCATCATCCACTTGTTCTTCATCCTCAACCTGTCGGAAAGGCTCCGATCTTGGAACGTTCAAGGAGGTGGGACGAAGAAATCCGAGAGAGATGATTCAAATACAAACACAAGATGTTCATGATATGTTTTACGAGTTGAGAAGGACGGAACAGCAAGCAAATGAAAAGTTTTTTGTGAGAATGCCCAAGTTATTGCAAGCCATGCATGAGTTAGCTCAGGAACAATATCGAGTGTTGAGTGGATATAATTATAATGCTCATGTGGAGGATAATCCTTCTATTCGGAATGAAATTCAAACGTTGAGAGAACAAGAGTTGCGTGATCAAGAACGAAAACGGGAAATCAAGGAATTGTCAAAACAAATTAAGGAAGATCGAAAGCGAATACTTCGAGAAGAAAAGAAGAAAAGGAAGGCAGAACGAAAGGAAGGACAAACGCCAGAGGAATCAGAATCATCAAGAAGTACAGTGCATTACAGAAATGGTGTCAAGTTGGAATATTCAGAAAAGGAGAATGCTGTGGGAATGGACGATGACGGATTTAGAGGAGAAACTGAAGGAGTGTATCATGAAGTTGAATTTGTGAAAAAAGAAATGAGAGGCCAAGTTCAACCATTCAATGACGCCTTTTGTCCTCGCCAAAATCCAATGGAAGAACAACAGGACATATCATCCCCTTCATCAATTTTAGAACAGCAAAGAATGGAGAGAAAAATTGGAAAACCTCTCAACATTTATCAAGCAAAGAGTCTTTCCAAAAAGAGATGAGAAGAAGTTCCTATCATTCCTCTTGAAATTACTATCAAAAAATGTCTTGGCTTGTGGTAGGACTGATCTTCTTGGCCCTGCTTGGATTGATCCAATATATTAGAAAAGTCATACAACGAAACAAGATCAATGCTCTCAAGAGCGATTTACGAAAGAAGTCTCGATTGAATATTGTCATTACAGGTATGATGGATTGTGTTTTTCGGAATATGACAATGCATATATTATCATGTGATGGTGGATCATTCGATCATCCCTTCTATGTTTCATAAATTAATTACAAATCATCACTAAATTTAAATTCATTGATGAATATTTACCATGTCATATAACACATCACTAAATTTATTGATTGATGAATATATTTAATATTGATAACTTCACAAATTACTATTTATTCTTTTCCATATTCACTCGATGAACACTATTATTCCATCATATTCATAACAATTATGAATAATATTGATATTCACATACATTTAGGTGGATCCAAGGGACTTGGATTTGCTCTTGTCAAGGAATTCATTCTTTCAAATGAAAATAACCATATTGCCTTTTGTGGCACTTCACCACAATCCGTCGAGAGTGCATTCGACCACCTCGAAAAAGAAACAGGTCTCAACAAACAAGTCCTTCAAAGAAGAGTCTTTGGCATTGAATGTGACATTTCCAATTATGATCAAGTGAACACACGACTCATTCCTTTTGTTAAGGAAAAATTAAATCATCACGTCGATGCTTGGATTAATAATGCAGGAAGTGGTGAAAGTCGAAAGAAATTGGAAGACATGACACGAGATGAAATTGAAAGAATTGTCAATGTGAATACTTTGGGAACTATTTATTGTGTGCAGGCAGCGATTAAATTTATGAAGAATCAACCTGGAGATGGAGGACATGTATTCCTCATGGAAGGATTGGGAAGTGATGGTCGACTTTCTCCAGAAATGTCCATCTATGGAATGACTAAAGCAAGTTATAGACAATTTGTGGGTACTTTGTGTGAAGAAACAAAATATACCAAAGTTGGAATTCATCGATTACAACCAGGTAGGTTGTTGACTTATTTGTGTTTAATATGTTCAAAAGGAAATTCACCTTGAAATGGAAAATTTTTCATTCATCATTATTGGATTCATGACTAATCATTAATTTTTCATACCTTCATATATTTTCATTTGTAATTTTGATGATCGTTGTTTTTACTTGTTAACACAACGAATTTCCAAAAAAAGGAATGGTCATTACACGAATGCTCATTCCAGATCAGCACAAACTTACTAATAGTGTGAAACGAATTTTCAACATTTTAGCAGAAGATAGAGATGTGGTGGCTCGTTATTTGTGCTCTTCCGTCTCTAGAACGAGAGGAACCAACACCTATTCTCCCTTTCTAACCACATGGACTATTTTGTATCGTTTCGCAACTTTCTTTGCGAGAACGAATCGATTTTTTGATAAGGATGGAAATTTGAAAGAAAAGTATGCCAATCAGTGGTAATAGTGATATTTGACTCTCCTTTTTGAAATATAACTTGCAAGTATTAAATTTATGCACAATATCAACAAAATTTATTCTTTCTGTCACTCATCACTTGATGGTTTAAGGTTTGTTGTCTTTCATGCCATATTAATTCAATATCTTCTTTAGTAAGGTGTGTTCTAATCGATTTCTATGGTCGTGGCATGCATGAGTGATTATTTGGTAAATGATTTTAGTTCATTGACATCTTGCACGAATGTCATGTGAATTTCAAATGCACAATATATATTGTTGTTTTTGTTTACAATGAAATCTCTCGTTATTTACAACAAAAAGATTTAAACATTTTCACAATGCTATAAATTCCAATAATGATCATGTAAATGGACAATCCACAATAGAGAGGAGCCAACACCAAGACATATCTAAAGGTAACAATTAAATCCAATCTCAATGCAAGCAAAATAAGAGAACAAGTGAACGGACTCAATACAATCACAGTCAGAGGGAAAGGCGAAAGAATGGCTAAAATAGTTCTTGTCTGCGACTGAAAACCATTGTAAAATATCTTGGTCGTATAGAAGGGAATGAGAGAAATGTTGGTATGCAACAGTAAAAGGCAGAGAAAAGAGGGTGACAAGACCACACTCCATTCCACCATTTTCATGAAAGGTAGATGATCCATTTTCAAGCTCGATAAAAACAGTGAGGAGGTTCCTGACAAGTAAATCATATTCACATTAATGGCGAGATAAATAATGGTTAATAATTTCCCCCAAGTACGCTTATTGGGAGCTTTCAATTTCCACACTTGTAGTAATCGATAAGTAAAATCCATAGCAGCAATAAATATAAATATATATACAGGTATAAAGAAAAATCGCCATGTAGCTTGTCCATCAAATGCCACCAAATGTAAAGCAACACAAAATATCAATACTGAAAACCACATAAATTGAGAAGGTAAACACAGCAGTAACTGGTAATTGGACTCGTTTACGTTGTTTTGCATTTCTGGTGAGAAGAATAGTCGTCGTAAAATAACTAGGGCAATACTCGTTTCAGCATCAGAATCAGTATCTTCGTTAGGGCGCAATAAACTCTTTCTTTCATCGCTTGCCTTAATTTGGTGTTTTCGATAAAGGGCTAAGCAGCAATTGGAAAAATATGGAATCCATCCAAGAAATAAATACGTGGATAATATAAACACAAAAAATATGGGTAGCCAGAGGAATGAAAATCCCACAGGGCTCACACCAATTAGGGCATCTGCTTGTTCCTTTGCAATAGAGCCATCAAAATACAGCCCTCCAAAAACCAAGCTCAGAGTGATAAAAACCAATGTCACAAATGAGAGCATACAGAGTTGAAAATACAGACACGGTTGGCACCGCTTACTGAGAAGATCATCAATTCGATCCTCCGCTCGTTTTCCTCTCTCTTTTTTTCTCACCGTTTTGGAGTGTTGTTTGTAGAGTATGTATTGATGTTTGAGAGGTAATCGTTTTTGTGAGACAGATCCATAGCTTTCGACACTCTTTTTCGAAAAAAATCCACTGGCATTGGATTTGTTTGATGAGCTCGACGATCGACGACTGTGAATCATCTTGGTTACATTGTCATTGATGGATCCGATTTGAATGGAATGTAAATCTTCCTCACTGAAAACCAAATCATCCTCTATCGTTAGGGAATCACCCGCCTCATTGAGACTATCATCGTCTCGAACAACAGTATTGTTATTACTGGTATTGTTACTTCTCCAGAAAATGCTAAAAAAGCCACGTCCTGGTGCAGTCGACTTGGAGTTTTGTTTGGAGCTCTTCTTCTTGAAAGAATTTAGTGGTGTATAAATGTTGTCTGCGTCGCTGAAATTGTAATTATATTCACTATTGTCAATATCCAATTGATAAAAGACAGTTTGCATTTCCTTTCGCTCTCGCGCTGAGAGTTTCATGATGTAACATTTCCAAAATCTGTCTTGTATTGACATGTAATAATATTCTTTGCACGTTAAGCCAAAGTTTAAATTGTCATGCATGGGCATGAACGAAACAATAATTCCAATTTCATCTTTGGACAATTTGTGAAAATTATGTACATATTCAGAGGGATCAATCCAAGTGGAATGTGTGTGACATTCTTGATTAGACCTACTTGCTGTAATTAATAATCCACCAGAAAGTTCCTCATCTTCAACTCCACTTTTGAAAAAGCTTTTTTTTTCTTTTGCTCCTTCCACGTAGAGCTGCCTCATGGCATTAATTGCATGATAATTAAATTTTTCATCTTCCTGTTCATAAACTCGTAACATAGTTGGAGAGGTGGGAGGTCCAGCTGTTGGAATGTCATTAGTATTTGAACCAATTGTGGACAATCGTCGAGATGTGGAGGTTTGTGTTATTGTTGAGTTTGTAGAGGCGTTATTATTATCTGCATTGGTAAAGTATGAAGATTGAAGAGTAACAGGAAGAGGTGGCGAGATGTCATGAGGATATGAATGAGATTTATCAACCTCTCCGACTACCGCCACGGTTAAGCTGGATTCATTGATGTTGTGATATTCATCCATGAGAATATTATTATTACGGGAAGAAGGTTTTGACACATTATTTCGTTCTTGAGAATTGCTTTTACGGTGATGATGTTGGGAATTGAATGTGTGATGATTCATCGTGTCGTTATTATTATGTTGTTGAGAATTGAATGGATGATGAGGCCTTCCGACAGCGTCCTGAAGTGAAGTATAACCTTGTTCCTCTTCATCGTCATCGTCTTGGTGATGATGTATAATTACTGCAGAGGAAGAGCCTCCTTGATTACTGGTAGGAGCTGCTGCAGCAACCACAGAAAGAGCCTTCTTCTTCTTCTTCTTCTTTTTGGAAGAACCCGATGATGATGATGATGATGATGAGGTGGTTATATATAATTTTCGGTTATGCTGTTGATGAGAAGGATCACTGTCGTCCTCGTGCTGATTGGTTGAGGTATCCATGTTTGCTGTTGATTTTCGTGCTTCATCGTGATGATGATGATGATTCAACATTGTAAATGTTGGACAATTCGTTTTAGCTATTAATATTATTATGAATGAAGAAGCAATTCACCTTCTTCTTCTTAAAACTAACAACAATTTTTAAATTCTTCTGAATCCGAATTCAGTTCTAATCGTTATATAATGATGATGATGATGATGCATGAATGGCACAAAATCCTTTTTGAAAATCGGTAGGGATATACGAGAGAAACAAAATCCGAAAATTCAATAACGGCTATTTTTGTTTTTTTATATATTAAAAAAAAATGATGGACGAGTGTTCCCTTCAGATATCCATATGGATGAAACCAATGATCATGAAATTGAGGAGGCCATTCGGAAATCAATGAATGAATGGACGGATGGTTGTGATGATCATGGAGATGGTAGAGAGAGAATTTGTCCTTTTTGTTTGAAACGAATTGTTTCAGGTGTTCGGAATGAGGAGAAGATGGCGGATGATGATGAAGAAAGAATTCAATTCAAAAAACAGTGACATGAGAAGGATGATGATATTCTCTCAAAACATGTTTCAAAATGTTTGAATTTATGGAAGATGGAAAGAAAAAGAAGAGTTGATTCCGAAAGAAATAAGCTGTTGCCAAAGATTACGCCACAAAATTTTTCAATGCCTGGAGAAGAATCGAGTCACAAACGAAAGATGAATGACAGGAGAGAAATGAACTTGTCCAACAAAAAAACAAAGAGTGAACACATATGTAACACAAACATTGAGTGCAAATATGATAACCTTAGTCAAGTGGGAAATGACATGATTTATCATATATTGGAATTTCTGGATTGGAGGTTTCGTGTGCAAGTTTGCATGAGAGTTTCAAAACAATGGTTCGAATTGGTATCGAATTCCATTGTCCATGAGTTTTAAATTACCTGAAGAAAGGTTCAACGAAGAAGAAGAAGACGAAGTATACATTAATCAACAAAAGCAAGAACGTGTTCTCAACAAGATTCATCGATTGGTCTCAAATTCATTTAAATTTGAATTCATTAGAGGTTTTAAACGATGCAACTTACAAAGATGAAATTGTTGAATTAATCTCTGGTTCCAAGAAGATGAATACACTCCAAACACTCATTTTTATTAGAGAAACTGATAGTTACTTTTCAAAATCATTGAATTTAATTGCATGCAGTGAACATTTGAAAAACTTGACAAAACTTTCGCTTCGTGGATATGAAGTTGAAGATGAGGATGATGTGAAAATATTTGTCAACAGCAGCAACATGAAACAACTTCGAGAACTAAAACTTGAGTGTTGCAACATCACGAACACTCGACTTTTTCCCAATAAAATCATTCTCGAAAAACCTTAATGGACAATTTATATATTTATTTCAAAAAATACGTCAAAATGGTTGACTGAAATGGTATGCAAGAATTTGATGGCCACTGCCACCAATCACCTTGTCACCTTTTATTTCAGAAGAATATTTGGCTGTGAGTTGGTTTTTACAGATTTGTTGGATTTGTTGGACTTGACTTCGATATCCTTGTCCACCTCAAATAAATTATCTCCACTGGTTAATGTTCGAGCAAGAGTTTTTGTGATCAAAAATTCTTTTGTGGAAGAGTTGCTACTCTCATCAAATGATTTGTTTTCACTCACAACATTGAGATTCTCTTCAATAGGAATAGGAGAAGGATGATGTTTGGCAGCCAATAAATACGTTTGCATTTGGCCCTTGCCTTAATATGTGAGATAGGTTTGACATGTTGTTAAGGATGACCATGAGTCATCGAACACATGAACGGATGTATGGATTTTTGGAAATGTGAACAGTAAATATAAATCTTACCTTTAACTTCTATTGGTTCACGTTCTTCAAATTGATAACCTAAATCATGCACTCTTTCATAACAGGAACGTGATATTTGTACTCTACCAGCCACACCTGTAGATTCCATTCTGCTAGCTGTGTTGATTGTGTCCTGTATTAGATTGATGAAATGTCAAAAAATGTTTGTTCATGAAATGATGAAAATGTCATTCGTTATTGTTTTGAAAAGACACTTACTCCCCATAAATCAAATGCGAATTTTTTGGTTCCGATCACCCCACCTAGGATCATGTAACAAAGTGAAAGTTAATGGTTATAACATTATAAATTTTTCAACGTACCAACAGCCGCTCCAGTATGAATTCCTTGAATAATTGTTTCAAATGATATTGTTTTGGACATTGTAACAGATTCATGATATCATTAACACACTTACCTATTCGAACATTCACTCTCTTTTTCTTTTCCTTATTATATTTGTGTAAAAATGTAAAAATATCAATACAAAATTTTAACATTCGTTCAGGATGGTCCGATACTTTGGAAGCATAAGCGCCTCCAACACAAAAATATGCATCACCACTTTTTCATTCCAAAAGTTATTTCCAAAACAATAGTGAACAATCATGCATGCAATTTTCAAAATATTGATCTTCCAACTCTATGAAATTGTACTTACATAGTCTTAATTTTATCCAAGCCATGCTTATCTGTCAATACATCAAAACTAAACGTTGTGAATAGAATTGTGGATTAAACTTCTCACCAATTTTAAACTGACTTACCACTCGACAATTTCATTCAACATGGCCACCAATTCACTCGCTTCCATTTTTGAACTCATACTAGTGAACCCAACCATATCACTGAAAAAAACTGATAAGTCAGGAATCTTCTCATAAATGTTTCTTTCACCTTCTAGCAAACGAGTGGCCACTGGTTTTGGTAAAATATTCAATAATAATTGCTCGCTCTTTTGCTTTTCTTCTTGAATGAGTGAATTTTGTTTCTTTTCCATTGTGACATCTCTGAAAAAGAAGGTCACGATAGGCTTCTTTTGGAAATATGTTAAACAAATGGTAACTTTGGCTGGAAATGTGCTCTTATTCTTCCTTAAGCAATTTGTCTCTAAAATATCACTACAGGATGCACTAGAAGACATCATTCCAGAAAGAATTTTCTTAATTTGTGAATGGCTTTCTGGTGAAAACATGAGTGAGATATCGAGACCAAATATCTGTATATATAAACCATAATTGATGAGCATTATTAGATAGATGGAATGTTATTTCATGCATGAATAAATAATTCAATAAATACGACAGATTCATCAAACCAATTGCCACTACAGTGACAAATCAACTTACCTCATTTCGTTTGTGCATGAACATTTCCTCAGCGGATTTGTTGAATTCTTGAATGACCAAAGAAAGCTCTCTTCCAGTTTGAGAACAAATCGCCACTCCATCTACTGCAGCGCTCAGAATAGAACGTGTCACAGACATTGGATCGTCCATATCGTTTTTAGAGTCTGAAGTTTTCCCTTTCAATTCTCTATTTTTGAACTTGTTAAGGAATTGATAAGTATAGCCGCTAATTTCATGAGACAGAACATAGTCTTTCAGGTAGTCTTGTGTTTCTATCACGCTCCAATGAGTATAGTTTAAAAGAGTTCTCATGGCATGCTTTTCTTCCCAAAATGTCTGTAATGAATCAAAAGACAAGTAAAAGAGAATCAACAACAATGCCAAGCCACTAAATGCACAGGTATATGTAATCGCAATGGATGGTGATTTTGATAAATTCACAAATGTAGAGATGAATTTAAAAATCTTTTGAGAAAAAGCCACGCTATAATAGTAAACGTGTGAAAAATAAATCTCCATTGACATTTCTTTGGACAAAAAGCCAGAGAAGAATTGTTGCGTCAATTCTGTTGAGTGCGAGCTGATTATATCAATTAAATCTTCCATACCCAAACACGCAGCATTTGGGTATTGACTCAATATGGATTGCAGTTTCTCTTCACTGACCTCAGAGGCGTTGTATGGAATGGGAGACTCTATTTTTGCCGTGGTATTAGACGAGTTTGTACAACCTCCAATCAATAGTTGATCAATTTCGGGAAACACATTATACACGGCAGACTTGTAGTTTTGGCTTTCCATGCCTACTGAGAGTGCTCTCCAGGTGCTTGTTGCCACAATCAATTGTTCTTGATTGACTCGTTTCAATTCAGCAAAGGAGGTTGAGATGAGCTGACTCTTCTTTGCAGTCTCTATGAGATTGAAATTCACCAACATGGTACTTTTGACCACAGTGTTCAGACTGTTTGTGGCAATCATGGTTGTTTGAGCTTTTTGAGCGTTCATATTATATTCAATAATGAGTAGAATCCATACAATGACTACAATTGCAACCACAACCATTGTTGTGGCTGAGAAGAGAACTTGAGGTGTGAAAAGTGTAATTTTAACCTTATGTAAATGATTGTCTTCAACTTTTGCAGAAAAACTGTGAAATATTTTTCCTGAAATATTGAGAATTAGAAATGAAAGGAAACAAATATTTCTCACTTACCCATTTCATTGTTGGGGATTTTCCTAAAAACAGCACTAATCAATCGAGAAATCTGCAGCAACTGCGTTCTCATTACTGCAACATAGATCAACATAAATATTAAATAAAGACCTAACACAATGCCGTAAATGGAATGGAAAATAATGGATGACTGTTGGGTAGTGGTTTTTGTTCCTTCTAAAAACGAGACGCAAAACGAATCGAAGGCATTTGCAATGATATCTCTATTCAAATAAACCATGAGAAATGGATAGTTGGAAACAGTTTTGTTAAATTCTGTCAAATCGTTTATCATGCCCAAAATATCTTCACCGGAGTCAAGTGTAATGTCGACAAAGTCACCTATGGATGCGTTACTGACTTCATAGATTGGCATAAGAGATTCATCAGGTTGCTAAATGTTTAAATTTGAATGTTCATGATCAACAATTGGGAAATATTAATTTGAGATATGAATTCCATTTAAAACATTGTAAAATGTAATTCAAAAACAAATTCAGTGTTAATGAAGATATTAATCTTGGTACTTACTGACGTAGGTACATAATATTTCCATTCAACCTTAGTGTACGTTTTCACTACTTGATCTATAAATTCGCCACTCGTTGAGGCCATTTGTACATCGTGAACTTTGTTTAAAAGGAGCTGCATATGATCCCTTGCAATAATTTTCATTTCAGCCAATTCTATTCGATCTATTTCATGCGATGCCATATTTAAACGTGCTTGAACCGCTCTTATTTGTCCATTCAACAAATGAGGAATTCCACTCAATGAACAAACTTTTTCTTGAAGAGAAATTTGTTTCGAAAAATTTTGTAAGAGAAGTAATGAAGTGATCAAACAAGTAGCAACAACCAAAGTGGACAGAACACAAAATATGGCAAACCAAATTCGATAGGCACTCGAGTCTTCTCTTGTGTTTATGGCTGCACGATAAAACTGTGCCTTCTTCTCATCTTCATTGCCGGCGACGCTCACCGATTCCCAATTATCGTCGTCGGTAGGTTTTTCATCCACCATGACGAAATCCTGGGCAGGGTTTCCTTCAGCTGCTGCCGCCTCTTCTTCGATCTGATATTCCTGTTCTTCAAATTGATCATAGGACCTTACTGCTGGCACGATTTTGTTCTTAGCCATGAGTAGTTTTTGAGAAGCGGTTAAAGGATTTTGCATAAGGTTGGAGTTAATCTTCTTCTTATTCTCTCGACGTGCATCTTCCTCTTCTAACATGTTCGCTTCCTCATAGAGTTGCTTATTTGTGTGGACACATAGAGTATCATGGAACACAACACGACATGGGATAATACTTATTGTAAATTGAAAAAGGATGTAATGAACGACCGTACTTACCTTGGCAGTGTCAGTTTCCCATCTGCAATTCTCCAAATACGATGCATAGGCTCTCAATAGAGTCTTATTATTACGGTGTGAAAGAAACATATTTCTAAACCTATTATCACAGTCTTGTAATAGTTTACAAATGGTTCGATTAATATTTTCCAACTTGAAATTATTATTGATCATTTATGTTGATCATCAAGTCATCATTGTCATAGAATAACATACCTTGGTGATCGATGATTTTTCTATTAGTAACTCCTTGAAAAATTCTCTGTGAAAGTACATGACTACTTGTTGCTTCTTGTCTACGTTGGTCATTTGTTGTTTGAGTTCCATGTTAAATGTTTTTGCATTGGAAGCGTTGGTTTCAATTTCTTTCGTTCTTAAGACAAGGTGATATCTTTGAATGATAGATGGTGCTTGCTTGTAAGCACGTGATAAGTTTGATACTGCAGTCACAGTGTTCATGAGTTGATCTTCTTCCAATCCAAAAAATCCAAAATACAAGGCACTCAAAATTAGAAAATCCACATTAACAAGCGCCTTACTGGAGGCACATTTTGTAACAAAATTGTTGGCAATCAAAAAATCACTAGAGACACATGCATTCAAGGTTGGTTGATTCATTGATTTACATTTCAAACAAACACCAGTCATAAGATAAAATCAATTACAATATTACGCCCCATCATGATATTCATCTTGCTACTCACCTATCCTCTGTTGTATCAAAATTTGAAAGAGCAAATTTGATAAAGGTATTGAGATATTTCATTTCTTTTGAACTCTCGAACTGATTATAAAGTTGAACGGCACCTGATTTTGAAGAACCCTTATTATTGAAGTAGTCCAATAATGGTTTTCTGACAATGCTCACGATCACTCTCAAATAAATTTCGCTTGCAACAAAACCAACAATGAAAACAATTAAAAATGCTGCCAATGTTGCTCCTGTGATAGCGCCTCCAATGGTCTCAATATCATTGCCAGCATTACCAGTAAAGAAACTAGATATAAGATATCCAATGGGTCCAATCACTTTACAGCTCACAACTCCAATCGCAATCGAATTTTCCCATCTCTTGTAAAAAGGAAGTGCCTTAATAAAAAACAAGCATGTGACAAGACCCAACACGATTTTGATGCATGATGACGCAATCATATTCTGAGGTCCACAAACGGTGGTTACAAGAACACTCGCCATATTCGTGAGAATTAAAACAATGAGGGGATATTCTCTCTCCATGGAGAACAAGACATATTTCATGTAAGGGGGAATGGTTTCAACGGAAATGAACACTCCAACTACCACAGCCACACTTTGCAAGACACAACCCACAACTCCAATCGCCACAAACGCAATATTCATGGACGATGAAAAACTCACCTGTGGGAAGTAAATGAGTGTTTGCAGCTGTGAATGGACCGACAAGGGCACACAATGAACCCATGTCATGAAGGGAGAGAAGATGACGAACGCAATTTCAACCCATCGCAACACTCTGCGAATTTGTGGAAGAGCGGCATGTCCTCGATCCGAGAGCCATCGAAACAAGTAGAGAGAGGACAGGAAGGCTGCTTCCAACGCAACAAAGACGCACGAGAGGGCAACTAGGGCTACATAGGGATAATGTTCCAAGGCAAAATGGATGGGATAAAACAAGACTCTCCAAATCCATCCTCCAACACGGCCCCAATTGGAAAAGGCGTGAGTAGTTCCTGATGATGCAGAATCGCCTGATTGATGATCATAAAGATACAGACTGGAATAGGACGAAACAACCACACTCACGTAAAAAACATAGGCATAGAGGAGAGCATTCAAGAAGGCTTCTTTTCGGTTCGAAATTTTCCTGGTTTTGGAATTTACGTTCACCAAAAACATGAAGAGTTGATCCCTCACTCGGGTCGCTGTTCCAGCACTGGTGAGGACAGAGGAGGACTGATTGGAGGTTTTACTCGTCCCGGAATCAATCATGGAGGTAGCAGCTTGATCGTGAGAGTCCTCTCCACTCTCAAAGGAAGCTTGAATGGTATTGGGAACAAAACGGCTATTCATTAGTTGGTGTATGTAGGTTTAGCTAGAGATGATGAATTTTGAGCTAATGTGAGGAAGATATGAAGCTTGATGGTGTTTGATGAATTGTTCTTTGTGATGATGATTCTTATGGTTCAGTTCTTGAGATATTGTTTTGAGGTGGTGGTCCTCCTTGAACGAACCGCGGCAGAACAGGAACTCCTTATGATTTTTTTGCAAATCAGAATTTCCTTAAAAACATACCAACGTCTTTAACGAAATTAAGGGTGTGCACCCAAGCACCGCGCAATTCTTCTGTGAGTATTAATAGTGGTTGAACGCCAGCGAAAGTGCAACAAAGATTGTTGGTTGCGTCCTGTGTGCGAATCTTAGCGGAGGATTTATATTCAAAAAAAGCGCTTTTTAGCTAATTGGATTTTCTCCTCCTAGGGTGCCAGTTGAGCTACCAAACGCAATCATTTACCAAAAATAACCTATCCGATGGTGTACCCACTCCACTGCTCCTACAGTCTCTCTTAGCAGTCCTACAAAGACGCAACGATATTAACCAAAGTATTCACTTCTCCGAGACTTTAAAATGGAATTGATAAATTGGTATAAGAAGTTCGGACCAACCTCATTCAAATTGCAATTGGTAATAATTAATTAACGGATCGACGGATTGGTTCGGATATTACTATTTTTGAACTTTCTATCAGTCAATCCAATCCCAAAATCCGATCTATTAAAATAAATAAATAAACCTCATTGTGATGTTGATGAATGTCAATTTCGTGACATCACGGTGCTCGAGGAAATTTCATTTTCGAAATATTTAATCACACAGCAACCAAATCGCATTTTTTTCAAGTCAAATCCACCTCTCCATCCTCGTCCTCGTCAATACTCGAACAATGGATGGCATTCTCCAACTTCTTTCGAATGTGCAAGAGTATTTGCTTTGACCATTCGTCCAGTTTGGCAACTTCGAGAGTCTTCTTCACCACCCTCAAGAATACTTTCAAATCTCGTTCCTTGAAGGCTTGATAGACTCCGACCAACAGTTCAAATTCTCGACTCTTCCCGAAACTTTGTCCTCTCTCTTCAAAATTCTCTAATTCCATCCAGAACGAGTCCAAATCCTCACTGTCATAGTCTTCTTTCATTCCAGCCAGTCTTGTCAGTAAGCTATAAAACATGTATTTGGTTTCCAAATGACGAATGAGAGAGGACTGTCCTGTCGTGGAGTTTCCTCGGTTCCACTCTGAATTCAGAATTTCCTCCCATACTTTGCTCGATTCCACATACTCATTCACACGCACATACAAATAGCCAATTTGTTCCAAGCATGCATTCACCGTGGCATACGCTTGTTGAAACTCGAACAACTCGGCTGCCCGCCGATAAGCCTCAATGGCCAAATGTAAAATATCAATGTCCGTTATGGATTCCTCACTCAATTTCTCTGCAATGGCTTTTTCCTTTCGGGCTGCTTGTGCCGTTTGCCCATTCTCATTGTACAAGACACTTGCTCGTTGGAGAGCATGGAGCGACTTTTCAAATGTATCTTTCGAGTGATCAAACATGGCATCATTCATAAAGGCTTCACTTGCAACAGAGAAGGTGTTTGCTGCCCGAGTTGGTTCTCCAAGAGCTTCAAAACACTCTCCCGATTTCATGTAGGCCTCTCCGGCCATGGAGTACATGTTACTTTGCATATAAATCTCTGCTGCTTGTTCATAATACTTTTGTGCATCCTTATTCCTATTTCCAAAATGAAGTTTCTTGGAGAGCACATTTTCAGCCTTCTTCACCAACCGATCGGCTGATGGACAAGACGTTGCGTTGAGAGTGTTGAGGGTGTTTGAGGTTACTTCGTCGAGTAAGGACATTTTTTTTTCAATTCCTTGCGTTGTCTGCTTCTTTCAGAGGTTCTTGAAATCATTCTGTCTTGTTTCTGATCATGAGAGGAGAAGGCTGGTGTCGATGGCTACTTCTTTGTGAAGGAATTTCGACTTTTTACTCATAAAATAAAATTTCATGTAAAAGAAGAGATCATGGGTTTGGGTTTATGGTTGGGTTTGTACATAACATTGTATTGGTAGCAGTAGTAATATCGTTGTGTAATGAGTGCTAGTGGTGGTGTTCATATAGGTTCATGTCATGGCATAGGTTAACTCTCTCATCTCTTAATAAGGCCAGACAATGATAATCCAAGTGGAATTCCAACTGCCAATAAAATAGCAATGATCACTGTGAAAATAACAATGATAATAATGGTAACGACGATACATTTTCTGCTTCGTCCTTGATTCTTTCGAGCATTCTTAATATCCTTGATACCTTTTTCGACATATTCTACAGTACTGGCAACATTGTATTCAATATTGTCCATCAATTCATCTTGTTGTTCAACCAAGAGAGCAAAATCCATAAACATTTGATGTAATTGTCTCAGTGAGTATTCAATTTGTTTCAAGTCATCATGAGTTTCTGTTGCTTCATTGTAGTAGGCATCGAGTGTGGCAGATTGTGACGATGTGAGACCATCCATCGATTGCTGAATCAAGTCACTAGGATTTAGAGTATTCTTTTCAACCATTTCATCGACAGTTCTATCAAAATCTTCACCATTACTGTTTCCCGAGCTTGAGTTGACAATTTTCAAAATACGCTTCAATCGGTTCTTATAATTGGATTTGAATTGTTGTTGCAAATCTTGATATAAATTCAAAACACTAATGAAATCCTTTGTGAGCAGTGCGTGTTGTTGTTTACGAATTCTCACAGCAGGTGAATTTGCATTTCCCTCTTCATGTTCAATTTGTTGAGTTCTATCGTGCATATTTCTCAAATCCGTTTGAATCTTTTGAACACTACGACCTGTTTCTTCAATCAACATTTTTTGACGTTGCTTTAATGTTCTCTGTTCCTCTGCAATAATTGCACTCAGATATTGATTGTAAAGTTTTTGCAACTCGCCGAGTTTGGTCTCTGTTTTTTGAATATTTTCTCTAATTTCTTGAACTTCATTGTAATATTCTTCCATGAATTTGCCCAATTCTTTGGTGTCACCACTGTGGGCGGAGTGGTCAATATTTTGATCTTCCATTTCAACATTGAGATTGGAATAATGTGGCCGACGAGCCAAGTCGTTAAATCTGTCAATCATGTTGTAGTTGTTTCAATGATGATGATGATGATGTATGTGTTATGATGATGATGATTTGATGTTGTTGTTGTGATGTTTGTTTTTTTGTTGTATTAAAAATTTCAATCTTGGACTCACACAGTGAATATGATGAACTCAAAGTGATGGCCACTGGTGTGTTATTCCATTATTGATGGGTATTGATTTTGTTATTGTATCGCGATGACCATCATCGGCAACCACCACAACAAGGGCATAGGATTGTATAAAATTCAACCACGTCGACAAGTGACATTCACAAGCAAGGAATTGTTTGAAAATATTTTCGAGAAAAAACATACATTGATTTCGGTTTGATGATGGGATGATGAAGCTTTTCGTCACTCACAACAACCGAACAAAGTGTTGACGGCACAAACAATGAAAATATTTTTTCGCAGATGGCCTGTCAAAAGTCGAGCGGGAATGGCAAATTGACCATATCGAACGGTCTTGCTAAACGTTAGAAGATTGAATTGAATTGGATAATAGATATCAAAAGGAGGTTCAAATTGAAATGTGTATGGAATGAAAGAGCAGCACACGTTATTGAAAAGAAACGTTCAATAATAATTATTGGAAAAAATGTCTCAATACCCAATTCTTTCTTTTTCATCATCACATCATCCTACTTCTAACGAAGCCTCTGATCGATCCGAAGAAGAAAAATGGGTGATCGGAACTGAAACAACAACAAGAACAGATACAATACAGTCTAACACTCCTTCTTCTTCTTCCTATAACCAAAAACATTTAAAACATTTTAAAATTCTTTCGTACAATTTATTCATGAGACCTCTCGTAAAAACCAATGCCAGTGATTATAAAGATGCAAGGCTTGAGGAGCTCATGATGGAATGGAAGAGTCGGAGGATTGACATTTTGTGTTTGCAGGAATTATTCTCAACTGCCAGTTATCGATCTTCTCGAGTATTGAATGAATTTTGTTATAAAAAGAATGATCATACTAATGAAGAAGAAAATGTTTCTGAAAATGACAGCCATTGTTGCTATCATTATGTACATTTACAACAAGATTATTGGAAATTAAAACCAATCGACTCTGGATTATTTATTTTAAGTCGATTCCCAATCGTGGAGAGGGATGCATTTATATTTTCACAGGGATGCGATATTGACGGCTATACAACGAAGGGAGTGATTTATGCACGCGTAGATTTGCAATGTGAAACTCTTTCAAGCAAGAGCACAAATGAAATTCCAATGAACACACACTCAAAGCAATGTCTTGTGTTTAACACTCACACACAGGCAAATTATGATTTAACAAATCCCAAATATTGGAAAATTCAACAATCACAAATTATTGAAATTGCACTTTTTGTGAGTGAGAAAATGAAGCAACATCCGAGTGTACCTGTATTGATCTGTGGAGATTTCAATGTAGACGCTCGAAATAGACAAGAGTGGTACGATTGGATGATGAAAACAATGAATGACATTATTTTCAATGAGAATATTCGTTCTGAAATGGCAAACAAGTACACCTTAATACGGGCTCCCACTGTGGGTCTGAATGATCCAGGGACAGAGACTACTCGAAATGTGACCTCTTCGAGTCCTCACCACACGTATCATTCTGACATGAACCGCCAATGCAATGCTTCTTGCTCGAATCATGACAATATTGAAAATGTCAATACATCAAGTCAGACATTTTTGCATGACATTATTTTGGAACATCACAAACGTCATCCCATAACCTTTGGAGACGTCATTCTAGATGAAGACACCAAACAGGAAAAGCCACGAGAAATTCATCTCTCCCATCCACATACACTCTGTACCAAACAACGTCTCGATTATATCTTTCACATTCACCAAGAGAGTAGTTCTTCAGTCTGCACAAAAACACGTCTCGAATGCATCAAGTGTTACGTCGAACCATTCTTCCGAACTCCCAATCATATCATGCCATGCACTCAACTCAGTGACCATTACTCGGTCTATGCAGAATTTTGTGTTGTGGATGATGCTGTAGAACAGAATTAGAATGAATGGGTGTCATTGTTCACATTCTCTCTGTTCTAGTCGAAAATACAAATATCTTTGGCCAGGAAGGGCATATGTCATTCCCTTACTTGGGGAGTGTTTGCCCAACAAAGCCGCTTCTATGAATTCCTTAATAAATTAAATTAAATTGACATGATTGAATCTATTGGAATTCACACATTCGTTTTAGGGACTTCTTGCTTAACATTTCAAAATAAACCATTCGACAAAATATGCAGAAAATCCCACAAACCCATTTGATCCTTAAAATTAACGATTCTTGTTGTTTATAGGGAATTTGTTTTAAAACAACAGTAACCTTAATTAAACTGGAACAAATTCACCAACTCAGCATTTCAACATAGCCACCATGGGCATCCAATTATTTATTCAACATCTCTGCAAAAGTCGACTTTTCAGCACAAGAACATTTTCAAGTACCAGATTGAACTCTCCGCGAACATTAAAATTCAAGTTAAAAATAACATTTCAAAAAAAACAAAAAAATTCACAACAATGCCCAAGAAACGCTCAACTGGCAAATCTTCGCATGGCCACAAACAATCCCTCTCGGAGTTTGTAGCGAACAGCACCAACCACCATACACAACAATTTGAAGAGGACTTTGATTTGCAGAATATTGATGTTGAACAGCAGAGATTGATTTTGGAGCAAATCATGAATGAAAAGGCTTTTCAAGGAGAAGAGAATAATAATAACAAACAAGATGAGAAGAGCCAACAACAACAACAACCACTTGCAAACTCTTCTTCCAAAGATCTGAATGGATTGAAGGAAACGGTCCAATCATCCAACGGAGCTGAAACCTCTCATAACAAGGAGTATTCTCCAGTAAAGGTGGTGGATACCACTCATGATGATGAATTACTTGCTCGCATGTTGCAAGAGGAGGAAAATCTTGCAGCTGCTGTCGAGAGTAAAATTGTCATTGGAGGAGGAGGAAGAAAGGGTTACGTCCCTGTGTCTATAGTGAGAATGACCTCGTCGGAATTTGCAAGTGATGATGAAGAAGAAGCAGATGAAGACAACAACGACGATGAGGACTATGACGAAGATGAATACTATCGTTCCATTCGAGGAGACGACAATTTGACTCTTGATGAAGAGAGTGCCATGGATTTGAATGATGTTTATCACATTTCCAATGCCAATACTACTGGTTTGGCCGGAGATTATGTCAATGCCTTGATGAGAGCTGATACCAAAGTGTTGCATTCTTCTCAATTCCGTGATCATAGTGCTCACTCCTTCAGTTCTCGCAGAAATAAGAAGGAAACGATCGAACGAATCCGTTGTGTGGACAAACAAGATGAGAGAACCACGGACAAGGTGTTGGATCATAGAACCAGCATGATTCTTTACAAACTCATGAACTCGGGAATTGTGACACAATTGAATGGATGCGTTTCAACAGGAAAGGAATCTCATGTCTTTCACGCTGCGGGCTGTTTGGATGAAATTACTGGTGATACTTCTGGAGCTGAGATTGATTTTTGCATTAAGATTTTCAAGGTTGTTGGTGCCTCATTTAAACGAATGAAGGACAAGATGAAGGCCAACAGCCAGAAGAATATCAAAATTTATGCTGAGAAGGAAATGAGAAATTTGAAAAAGCTCAATCAAGCCGGTGTCTCTTGCCCTACGCCCTATCTCGTGAGAGATCATGTCATTTTGATGAGCTTTATTGGAAAACAAGGATTTCCAGCTCCTGCTTTGAAAGATGTGAATTTCACTAATATGGAGAAATTGAAGAAGGCCTACATTCAAGTCATCTCGAACATGAGAAAAATGTATCAAAAGGCAAAACTCATCCATAGCGATTTAAGCGAGTACAATATTTTGTATCTCCATGGTGAGGTGTTCATCATTGATGTCTCTCAAGCAGTTGAAACCCATCATGCCAATGCCAAGTCTTTCCTCGTGAATGATTGTAGACACATTAATCAATTCTTTGCCAAGAAAGGATTGACAACCATTTTGACAGATAAGGAGCTCTTTGATTATGTGATTCAAAATGTTGAGGGATATATGAATGAGGATGAATTATTGGAGACTACTCTCTGCGTTACTGAACTCCGAGATATTTCCATGATTGACCAAACACAGGATGAGAAATATTTTGCTCAGGTCTGTTTGCCTCAATCCTCCATTGATTTTGATGATAATTATCATGCTATGGTAGCCGGTAATGCTGCTGTTGAAATTGTTGAGTAGAAGACTCCACCATTGTTTCTACTCTTGCTCGAGACAAGAAGTTCACGAGAGTACATTTTGTGTGAGTTTGCTGTTGTTGACGATTCAAATGACGACAGCACTTGTCTCTTGAATTGATGCAATCAAAGTTTGGTCCACGATTTCTTGAAACAATATTGTTCATCCAACAATAGTTTCAGGAAGGACATCTTTGATTGTTTTGCCATGCAAGAAGAGTGCGTTAAGACTCCATCACTCTCAAATCATGGACAGATTTCTCAAAACAATTTTTTGAAATTATATTCCAAAATAAATTTATTGCTTGATAAATTGAGCTTTTGTAAGGAACTGCAGTTCTGGAAAAAAACCGAAAAATGTTTTCCAAAAGCAACAACAACCACTTTCTGAAATACAATAATAACAGAGAAGATGAACATGGAAGAATTCTGTTTCAAGATGTCCCTCAAGCACAGTATTTCAGTTATATTTTAAGCTATTTTAGAGTTTGTGATTTGTTTGAACTTGATCTTTCCATATGAATCTTCTGCAGTGCTATCATCTCTAAAATATTATTAAAGAATAACTTTGGAATTCTAC